GCCAGGAGCCCCTAGTAGCGTCCTTGCTCCTAGTAGCGATGCCAGGAGCCCCTAGTAGCTTCTTGTTCCTTGGGCCTCTGGGTTGACCACATCTTTGAGCTCCACGGGGCACTGTGAGAGCAATGCCTAGGTACGAACGGGGCACTGGAAATATCATCACACACACACCCGAGTTTGTGCATGACTATCCGATGTGATTCCCTTACATTGAAGCTATATATTGGTTCAACTGTTGGTTCAACTCATTCTTTTGGAAACTCGCAACTATTGCAATCTGTTGCACTTTGTAGGGGGCAGTGACATGATGCTATCTGGCCATATCTGGATCCATTTGGCAACCCGCATCTGTGCATGGGCTCAAGTGATCCTTGATTGACATATCATGCACACCCAATTGCATAATACATCCAACCAATTGAACCAACAATACCTAACAACATGGTATATGACTATATAATTCTGTTAGGGGGGTTGGCCTTGAAGTCTACTCTCTTCAGTCGCTATCCGGTGGTGTGGGATTGTCGTGCCTTTGGTCGATTTTGGTCGGTTGATATCGCTTGCAGGGGTTTCTCTTCAAGCCATAGTCACCGGGATGCCTTCACATGGGGTTGAATACAAAGTGCATACCAACAATGTCTCGATCCAATTGGCTAATCCTCTTCGTCTCTGCAACCTTTGACATAAATACCGCCCTTTCTGGGCAAAAAAACCATCGCAAGCCAAGGCTGCAACGTGGGACAGTTGCACTGCAAACTGCAAAAGAGGCTTCTTTGGATATCGTTTGCTCATTGAGATTGTCGTAGGAGACCCTGTAGTAAGACTGAAATCTTTAGCCTGAAACCACCTAGCATGGACAGTTTTGAGCAAACCTGTACCCTTTCCACACACACACCTTGGTTCAAGCAAGATCCTAAAGTTTAAAGATCACGATTCTAACCCCAAACGCTAGCACAAGGATAGAATCGGCCCGTTTGAATTTATGGTGTGCTCATTGCAATCGCTTGACATATCCTAAGACTAACCACGGCGGGCCAATAGGCCCTGCCGACCAAGCTGGAGGAGAAACCCTTCTAGTCCCAGGGCATCAGCCCGTCAACCTACTCGTCCATTGGTCAAAGCTGGTCTAATGGGAACTCTTCTCTATGACTCCAAATCCACTGTGCCTATCAATTCCCGGTGCTCAAAACGCATATCGCAAGGATGGCCCCTACGTGTGGAAATGCCCGAAGAATGTGCAAGAGCCAGCTGCTTGGCATATTTTCTCCCTGCAGCTCAACAGCAGTAAGAGCAGCTGGCTGGGGTAATTAATTACCCCAGCAACCCTCCACGCATTGCTTGTCAGGATTTGGTTCGCCAAGAAGTGATCGCATTGAGATAGCCAATCCTTGGGCCGGAAGATTTTTCCCAATGGCAGTGTCTGCAACTGAGAGCGGTGCAAACAATAGTAAACCCGGGATATGTTGATGCTTCAATATCGATACTTATGGAACCTGATCAACTGTACACGATGTACATCCCGCCCATCCTCTGACTTCAAGCAAACCTGACAAACTACATGCGCTCAAACTTCAGCCAGTAGTCGTAGATGCGTGTTGGCACGTTTGGCCTAGAACTGCGCTGCGCACTCCATTCGGGTTGGTGAGCAAGAGCACGTTTTCCTGACACTGAAGAATCTGCAGGCAAAAATAACCCATCAATACGCCTTAGCCCAATTCACCGAGAGGTCTCCGACAATCCAACTAGTTGTACTATAGCATCCCCTGTGGAATTACTGGTGTAGCTTGGGACGCGACTTTATAGTGACGAAACGAAAAGCCAACCTCAAGCGCTAACATGTTTTTTGATCTCTATAGAATGAGGTGCCTCAAGGCATTGGCATTCATCATTCATCATCATGAAAAGTTGATAGCGAAAATTGGAAAAACAGTGGTGCTAAGCCACATTTGGCATTGATTCTATAAACAAATGTGGAAAATATGAAGGTTGAAATTGATTTTGGAAAACGCAGGACAAAAGTGGCTCAAGAGGTTTGGTTTTATTCTAGAGAGACATGTTTGGACAATGCAGTGTTGAAACTGATGTTAGAAAAATATTGGACAACTGGCCCAAGAGGTTGGTTTTGATTTCTCCTGAGCCAGTGTGCAAACCTTTAGTATAGTCGGGCCCCCGCTGACTCGCGGAATGATCTGTAAGATCTCTTCGTTCAACTCTTCGGCGGCGAGGCGGAAGGAAAAACAAAGAACGCCAATCGGTAGAAGTGTGACGTAGCAAGGCTAGAAAGAAACATGCGCAAACACATCCGCGAAAGCATGCGGCGGGGGGCCGCGCGGTGTACTCAAAGACTGCGGGGATGGCCTTCCAGAGGACTTGGTGCACGCCATCTTCGAGGTGATCATGAACCCTGCAGGAGAGTTGGAGAGTTGGTTCGGAAGCCATGATATGAGCCAACGTTGGTCTCAGCCAAGCTACCACGGTGATGACCATCATTATACACTAGTCCCTTCGACATGAAAGGATCAATGGGCGCTGCTCAGGTCTTGTCCACTCTCGTCCACCGATATGCTTCGGCATTCCACACTGCCAGGGTAAAGTGGACGCTAGTTGTGTTTCGCCTGAGGTATACTAGCCACCGCTCAGTTTTGCAGCGGCCTGGAGAGAGCCTCGTGAAGATCAAGTTCTGTTCCGCGTGCAGCGCTTTCGCGATACCGGACAGCAGCTGCAGCTTTCTCCGCTCCAAACGGTTTTGTTGACACTCAGTGGCTCCTGACCCAGAGGCGATAATGAATGCCGCCCTACGCGGTTAATCCTGCCGCATCCTTGTTTTCCCCTCGCCGCGCGTATATTGTGGTCGGCACCACACGTCGCAAGAACTATAAGGGAGGTTGAGAAGTAAAGCAAGGGGTAAGACAAGTGAAAAGTGAAAAGGTTAAAGGAAAACAGCGTGAAACAAAAAGCATGCAATGTGAAACTCAATTGAGCCTCCGCTCAGATCATTTGGCTTCTTCCAACTTCTTCAAGCTTCAGTTGCCGCATCCTGACAACGCCCAGGAGTTCGTACCAAATAGTAGCACCAGAATCCCGTATCACCTGCGCCACCGGAAGGGTAAAACCCGGTGCGGCTCGACCCACCACTTGAAGAACGCCTACTCAGACCCTCCAAAGGATCTTCAAGAGTGGGAGATGACCCCGCAAAAACATGCGCTTGCACCCATTTGCTGAAGGAAATTGAGACACCGAAAATGCAAAAATTCTTGCAGCGGCGCTTTGTGCCAAAAAAGAAAGCGTCCAAGGATCTGCCACGGCTCCAGATCAGCTAAGTGTGCAAGACAAAGTCAAAAATACCGGCGGCAGCTTGGTTTGCTCTGAATTGCCCAGAAGAGCGATGGGAACTCTCGGACCAAGCGGTAGGTTGGGGGGGCCTGCGCATCGTCTGACGCAGTATCTCTTGCGCCCGAGCAGTCTTGTGTGAGAGCACCCCAGGTGGCTCCCCTCGTGCCTGCTGCTGGTCTTGGCTTGCTTCGTTTGTAGCTTCGTCGCTGTAATGAAGGATTTCGCACCAGCTACAGCTACATTGCTTTGGTGATGTCCTGCAAGAACTGATGAAGCACGGTGGACACAGGAATCGCAGGGAACCAGTCGCAGTGATGGACGCCATACAAAAAGAGGCGTTGGGAATCTGAAAACAGATTGGTATGGGCGTATCAACGCCAAATTTTGGCTGGGATTTACAGTACTACACCCGGTACAGGGCGATCACCCACTACACCAGCAGGACCATCAGCTCCCATGACACCAAGTGTCCGCGCACCACACACACACACACCAGCTCCCCGTGGACGAAAGCGCAAGGAAACGCAAGGCAGAAGAAGAACATCAGGCCTTCGGTCGAAAGACTGAGGCAGCAGTGGCCTCAGAAGGAGAAGAGAAAGAGACTAGTGATGACGAGAAAGCAGCACAATCAAATCAAGAAGATAGAGCAGGAGCTTGCAGGAGTTCGCGAAATCGGAGGAAGTGTGTGAGTTTGACCGACAAAACACCCGCTGCTGGAATTCAACAAGATTTTCAACGCGCTGAATGAAAGTTAGCATCTTGACTCTAAGACCGAAGCCGTCTTCTCACGCCAATTTCCCGGAGCCACACTGCCAGAGACAGAAGATTGCCGCAGATTGCCTATTTGCCAGGGAAACCATCGTGGGTCTTTTTTCGCGGCAAAGCTCGCCAAGGCATTTTGCCACAACACCTGGGCCCCAAGAAGCTGGAGTCCTTTTTTGGGACTCCTGCCGCTGGGGTAGCACTTGCTTCGAATCTTTGCAACTTGACCACTGCTTCCCAGGGGCCAGAACCTGGACTCACTACAAGAATAAAATCACATATCAAGCCTCAACAATTGCAAATGATATATCAACTTACCTGACCTCAAAACATACCATCCACTCTGAAATCTATTCTCAACCTTCTACTGCTCCAAATGCTTTCTAAATATAATCAAATATTTTGACCTCTATAAAATCTGGTGACATGTCGTGCCCTCTCTATAGAATGACATGTCAGCACCCATTTTGCGAGAACAAACTGACATTTTTTAATACCCATGTTTAATATGTGTTTTCTCAGGTAGGTTGATATTTTCTATAAGAAGATCGTCTATAAAATCTGAGGATCATTTCGAGCTCAAGCTCTCAGATTCTATAGCGTGTATTCGGCAGGGGATACTATAGTTATATATAATACTCAATCATCTGTGCTCTTGAGTCAGCTTGGTATCCAAAGAAACTCGCAGTGGCAGGCAAATGGGTAGCCATAGTAGTCCCATTGCTTGAGGATGTGCATCACAGCAGAAGCAGTGCCTTGGGTACGGTACCGTTGACCAATCTGAACGAGGAGATGGAGAGATGCCCTCAAAAATCCATTCATCGGCCAAGCTTCCATAGATTAGAAGCACCAAAGAAACCAAGAATTCTGCGCCCATAATGCACTGCTCCAAACCGCTAATCTTGACATCCTTGGACTCATCCATCTAAAATGAGTTATCGGACATCTCGAATTACAAGCACACTGCGCACAAAACAAGCAAAACAATGCGGCATGCTCTCAAGAGACAACCCTAGCAAGCTCAGCCTCAAAGTCTGCAAATTCGCGGTGAAAACTGTCTTTTTAATTGGCTGAGTGTCATTCGCTTGCGCACATAGCCTATAAAGAAGAATCGGTATAATGAAGGCAATCACCGGAGTCACAGTTGCCCCCAATAGGGTGACAAAATCTGAAAAGAAGGGTACAATTTGTGCTAAGAACCAGGAAGCTGCGACAACCACCATCACCTCATGTGCATGACTCATTTCAAAACAAGCTACAGAAACGCACATTCTTGTGGGTGGCTAGAAAAGGTACAAAACTGATAATCCAAGAAGGGTCCGGACAACACAGGACAAAAGCAGCCAGGCAGCTATGGCATACCACATTGTCCAAGTCTTTCCGCTAGAAATATATTCATTCTTCTCAAATTCTTGCAGTAAACCTCTGCAAAGCACCACATTCTTGATTACCTGGCAGGGTCACTTGACACTACCCGTTTAAACCAACAACATGACCATGAAGGGCTGAGGGTTGCAGGCGCTTGCTGCAAAAAGGAGTGTGATGGCCAACGGCAGCTAAAACAGGTTAGAGCATGGGACCTGAGCCTCTCCCATTCCAAACCCTTCCCCACATAGGTGATGAGCATGTGCCCCACAAGGCAAGCTGATGCAAGGCGTTCGCCAAAGCCGAATGGAAGTTCATTCACGATCATGCCCGCTGCTTCACTTCCTTGCGGCGCCAACAGGCTTTCAAATTGCCAATTCACTCCTGGTATAAATCGCACGGTGGTGATGGGCCTGCTGTAATTCAGCAGGTTTTCCTCGCCCAATTCTACTCAATCAGTCAAGTCGCCACGGAAGTAGTACACAGAAAGGCCGATGCCCAAGAAAGCAAGCGCTTGAAATGGAAGTGAATAGCCAAAGTACGCCTGCGAGGATTCGCTGGCATCTCCACTTCCCCGTTACACTGCTGATGGGTGTACACAACCAAGCCAAGCTTGCTTCCAGGCTCTTTTGCAGCTTTCTGCCAAAAAAGTCTTTGGATGCTAGTTTGGAGTTTTGACACTCGGCGCTAGAAGCTGACTTTCCTAGCTCAAACCAAGGGCTACACAATCTTGCTCTCCTTTGGAAACTCCTCCAAATCGTCCATTTCTGACATGATCTCGACGAGAATAAACCTTGAGCGGTCGAATTTGCACGCTGGGGGTGGCTGTGGAAGAATGAGGGCAAACTGGATGCTTCGGGTTGCGAGGAACTAGCAGCCATGCCCAGTTTTCCGACGACTTGCTGCCGTGCTGCTGGCCTGTGAACGCAAAGGCAAAGGTGCTAACCTCAGAGGAGATACTTTGACCAAAAGGCCATGAAGCCGTCCCAACCCAAGACGAGGCCGCGGCGGAAGTCACCAAAGAGGCCGGAGAGAGAGTGGAAGACACTGGTGCGAACTCACTGCCTACTGATCTGGTGACGGCAGCACCTATCATGTTTCCAAAGACATGGTCGCCGGCAGCTGGACAGCTAGGTCTAGGTAGTGGTAGTGCCAGAAAGCTTGCAGCACCGACTGAGCTAAAGCTGTCTATCTATCACAAGCACATGGGCACTAGACTTGACTGGCCGGATGAGGTGCTACTGAGGTTTTGCATGTGCAACGATGATATCCCTCGCCTTGGCTCATCAACCAGAGAATTGGGATCATCACCTGACATGGCAAAATCATTGCGTATTCAACTTCAAAGATGTGCCCAAGCAGCGAAGCAACTGCACGTAGGAGGGAACCATTGCAAATTCAGGGGCATGGCTCAAGAATGAAATGCCATCAACATCTAGTTAAACAAAGGAGATATATGATATATCTGTATATGTGTAAAGTAACTATATAGTAATTATATATATAATTACATAGCAGTCCGTCTGTGGGTTGCTGAATATTGTATGGTGAGCCACATGCACACCACCACCTAAGTGGTCAGCAACATTCTCGACAAGGGCTCGCAAGCTTTTTGTTCCTGTCTTTCCCCTTCATAGCTCAGGCGCTGTTCCCAAGGTACATAGGCAATTGAAGATCACTGAGCCAGCAAAGGAGCCCAAAAAGCGTGCAGAGAGGTTGATTGGAAGCAAAAGCGCGCAACCAAACAAAGTCATCAATGGCAGGCAGCCATGAAGATCGTAGAAAAACCTAGAGGGCTGCGAAGGCTGAGCACTGAGACCAATGAAACACAACAAGAATATACAAAAATGCCAAGAAGCATTCCAAGACCTTGACCAATGCTGAGGGTGTAGAGTCCCAAGGTGGAAAAGATGAATGAATACTGCCCGATGACCCTTAGCTCTTCTTAGCTCTTAGCTCTTCTGTGTGTGATCTCTGACCTTTCTTCTCACCTCTCCTCTCTGGCCCTTGGGGCGAAACGAGAAACCGGTGCTACTCCGTATACTGTCTTGTGACATGAAAACCCACACCCTCATTAAGAACCACTTGTTACTGGTGATTGGGTGTCAGAATTGTGTATTCGGTGTGGTACTGACTTTGGTTGGCTAGGAATCGATGTAAAGGCACAGAGTGCACTAGGTGTATGGGATTGCAAGGGTGGGCAGCTGAATTGCCAAGTCTCACTACCTTCCTCGCTACGCCCAGCATTTCCGGCTGCGCCTGCTGGACTGTCATGCAAGCGAGCTCCTTGTATGATTTCGCTGCCTGAGTTCACAAGTCGAGCTGCTCTCTTCTCACGACTCTTTGCAAGGCCAAGGAACTGGGTGAAACTTCTGAACCTTGGAGCCGACATGCCGTACACAAATCCGCACATGGTGACGCACAACAGCATCGATTGACGTGACGTTGAATATCAGGATACTATCAGCGATATTAAAATTCATGACAGCCAACAAAAATGGGACTTGGCATGTGGAGATGTGTGAAGTAGCGGAATAGTCTGTCAAGAAGCCCGCCACACCAGAATCATGATGTGAGCGTTCATGGCCTGTCATCATGGGCGAAAAGTCTCACGTATATTCTATTTCAATAGCACTGGAGAAGTGGATGTATGATCCCCTCCAAATGCGCAGTTTGGCTCTGCCAAGTAGCAAGCATGAGGCAAATGATGGGGATTGCCATTAGCCAGCCCAGTTTGGCAACAGCATTGCCTCAGGTTGGTCTGCAAGCCACCCATCAAACTACTAGAAGTCGTCCAGAACAACCACCATGTTAGTCTTGGAATGTCTTGGGAAAAAGACTCGATCAGTTCCCAGCCCATTGCAAGAACCCCGGCTCCGACAACATCTGCAATGAGTAGACCAGCCTCAGTAGTCAGAGCGACTGAAAACATCAATTTGCCGCCTGAAACACAGCGCGGTCTGAATCTGCTACCAGGTGGCTGTGAGGATAGCAGAGTTGCCACCACGCGGCTTCAAAAAGGAATCGTCGGACGGATACTCTGGGAACCTCATCCAAAAAGCAGTGTCGCACCTTCACCCACTATCTCACTCGTGTGCAGCTTCTGCTGTACCAAGTGCCTGCCTGCTGCTGGCAGCAGCCCCATAGTTCGCCTGTCAGGAATAGCAACAATTGCTCAGCCAAGTTCTGGGCAGTCTCTTCGACATAACATTGACATAGCCGGTGTCGTGCCACCCGCCTGCATTTCTGCCTCTAGTTCTGCATCGAATTGAACATTAGTGGGTTCACTAAGTGGATCAAGGACTAAACAGCTGCGGGCTTCGCAGCAAGGAGCTGCATCACCCCTCGAGCAAAAAGGTCGGCAACACCAAATAAAGAACACACCAAAACTCAAACAACATCTCTTGAGCCTCCAAAATCCTTGCCACATGTCGCGTATGCGGTATGCCTGTTTTTTGGGGGTGATGCTGTGCATGAGCCATTTGCACTTCCAGTGATTCTTGTGTCTATGTAGCAGCTATAAAATCCTATAAAACATTTTATTACAATTTTGCATACAATCATACAGTATGCATACAGTAACATTTCTACACCGTCTTCAGCCAAAATACATAGGTCCAGCAAAGGCTGCGCTGAAATTCCAGGTCATTGCTCCCCAGGACTTGCCCGGCAATGCCGGTGAGGTCGTCCAAATTGAACATGAAGAGAAGGCCCCAAGAGCCCAAGATCACCTCAATCCACGCTTGATTGTATGTCCACTGCCCGAGCATGCATCAGTCAGCCCCACATGGTCCGAAAGACACATCTTTGTAGTCCACGACAATGAGGTATAAACCCCAAGCCGCAAAAGTTTCATCTTGGGGATGTAGCAAATCCACCAAGCAGCATCTGTAGCACGCTCCATTCGCCAGAAGGACAAAGGCAAGGCCACAATGTTCCACAGCACCTGAGAGGACCCAAAACATCTAAACTGTGGGCCAGTGTGTGGCTTTAGCCTCACACGCAAAGCGCGCGCACAGTCACACAGTTTCTTCACTTTCACAAGGTTCATCGAGGTTCCAAATCACCCCTCTCACTTATAAAGAGTCTCACTTCATCAGCCTAGTAGTGGGACGCGGTCATGTAGAACCTGGACTCTACCATCAAAGCTCTCACCAACTCCAAGAGCCAAACACACCAGGCGTTGATGTAACCACCTATCACAGAAAAAGAACAGCGAAGCGGTAGTGGTCACTAAGCCACTAAGTCACTAAGCTTCCAGATGCTTCCAGCCTACTATGGACCAGAAAGAGGTGCAGCCAGCTAGGCGGCCATACTTCCACACATCCTGAGGGCTATGAGATCAGCAACATGCGCTTTGAAGGAATTGCAGAATTCGTTCAAGGATGCGGAAAAAGGTCATGTGTAAAATCTGTAAGACTAGGTCATCAACCTCCAGTTCAGAGGCGGCGTAGTTGAGGAGCTGTACCACGACGAAAAAAGAGAACATGACTCCCATCAAGATCGTGCACCAATCCTTCAAAAAGCAAAAACAAAAAAGGCGCGCGTTCAGCGTTGCCCGGAAAGTGTCGCTCCCTGATTTTCCATCTTGAATTAGCTCCCACTTCCTACCAGCATCATCAGTTTTGTCTGTCTGTCAAATTTAAGCTGAGAAGCTGATAGCGGTCGGTTTGGGCAAAGGATGCTGCTGACAGACAAGCGCTGCCAAGTTGATACAGGATCATGCAAATAGTTGGTATTCCCCTCAGGGCAATCGATTCCATCGCGGCCATTGCGCTAAACGTCGCATGGTTTGTCCTACAAGCCTCCCCTCTCACAAAGGTCAAACACATTGGTGCGTCGGCGTCGGGGGCCGTAAATGTGCTGCGCCGGTTGACCCAGTTGAACCCAGTTGATGGAAGTGTGGTAGTGGCAGTGGTAGTGGTAGTAGCAGGGGTAGGTAGGGGTAGTGGTAGTGAAGTAGGGGAGCAGTACAGTAGTAGTAGCGGCGGTGGTGGCGGTGGTGGTGGTCGCCGTCGTCGTCGTCCTAGCAGCAGCAGCAGCAGCAGCAGTACTAGTCGTCGTGGTGGTGGTGGCGGTGGTGGTTCGTCGGGGTCAACTGAACCGGGTCCTGAGATTTAGCGTGGCCACCTGGGTGGTCGCAATGAACACATTGGAAAGGGCAAAGACATGCAAAAACATTCACTGCCATCCAGCCTCCCATAGGCCCAGGACCACCAGAACTGGCCCAATGGTTTGCACCAGCGCTACCTGGCGGTTGGGTCTTGGTCAGATCTTCAAGAAAAGCTGAAGAAGCTTTTTGATGCACAGATTCAACACTTCTGAAGGTCACTCCAAAAAAAGAAACTATTGCTGCAAGTCCTGACCTGTCATTTATGTGAGTCCTGAGTCCTGAGATGTCCTGACTCCTGACATGCAGGGCTGACAATCCAACCAACCAGTTGGGCACTCCACCATGACTCCCATGAGGACGGTGTCAGTGGAGCTACGATTGGCCAGCCACCCACTTTTTCCGCCTCGGTGCGTTGATGGAACGGTTTCCTGTTACCAGCACGTAGAAGCTGGACCAGCCGCTCAAAGAACCAAAGATGCTTGCATGCGCGGTTATTTGTCAATGTGCTTTTAGATCCTTTCCCCTCTGCAAGAACAGACCACATGGTGAAGCAAGAGCACGAGAAACTCCTCCAAGACAGGAAAGCCATCGGTCTGCAGAACCTGGTCGTCCCAGCCCAGCTCTGTATCCTACAAGGACTGGTGTGACTCGGCATCGCCAAGGAAAAACACACATCTTGCTGCATGGCTTGGACAAACAAAGCTCTGGGCGTGTCCTGTGGGGGCTGTGAAATCATGCAGTTCGAATGTTTCTGAACTACTCTCTGAACAAGAAGTTTGCTTCACAGTTTCCCAAATCTTTTCCCGCAAGTCCTTCTGGGTCTTTCCAAGAGCGAGGCCCACCTCCCAGGCACAACAAAAGGATTCAGTTTCACAAAAAGAGAGTTTCGCAGAACTACCATCCTCTACCCATGATCGGCGCCTTGGTTGTCTTCAGAGCCTGGAGTAGCAAGTCGCAACGTTCTTCTAAAGAGCGGTCTCGCCCCAGAAGCTCCGCGCGCTCCTGGGGCAAGCCGACAGGCGGTGTTCACCCTCTTGGGGCTGGTTCGATGCTGATTTGCACCCGGCTCTTCATGGACTCACGACTTGCACGGGGTCTGAGAATCAAGTCGTTGCATGCGATCACAATTGTAAAAACCGGTTCTGATTTTGGGGTTCCATGTCCTCCCGCACATTTAAGATGTTACCACTTTGTCGCAAATGTCCTCTGCCACGTCTCGCAGCTGGGATTGCAGGTCGGCACAGTGGGCCAGTCTCATCTGCACATAATATGTGATCACGAGAGTTTGACCGCTGCAACTTAAGCCACTAAACTAGTGTTTTAAGGTGATTTCTAAACATGTCAGACCTTGTCAAACCTTGTGAAAGCACACTTGAACAAGTCTTGAACACAAACGTTGGGTAACGCTACTGAAGCTGTCAGCCTGGCTGTCAGCAGACAAGCACAAACGTGAGCGACTTCGCTGGGTGGCCTGGTGCAAGCCATTGAGCCGATAGATATTCCCTGCAGGCGCCAAATGGCTCCACACATTCGCAAGGTCGAAGTGGCCCCTGCCCAAGGTGCTTGGCCATGCTCCGTGTGGCTCAAGAATCAAGGTGTCAAGTGAGTGCACGTTTGAAGGGCTGGGAGGTTTCTCAACGACCAAGTCACAAATGACGTGAATATATATGTCTATAATATTCTATAATACTACATAATGGGTGCACAATGGCACATATAATCACATGATTATTCAATTCATATCAAGGACATATAATTAATCTATTTATTGGCTCCAACCCAATTTCTCGATCCAAAGTTGGAAAAACAGCTGGCTCTGACCTGGCTTCTTCGACTTCGTCCAAGACATCCTTATCACCAAATCTTTTGGCTGCTTCAGCCGTGCTCTGAGCACATCCCAGCAAGACAAGCACAACACTGCTCGCATAATCACATATTCATCACCATGCCAATGGGCCATGGCGCACACCTCAAGCAGGCTGGAAGCATCTCCGCCGTCTTAGGCTTGCCGAGCATCTTTGTACATCAAGTGGAACGGGTGTCTGTTCTGGAAGTGCCTACAGTTCCATCATTGAAAGGCTAAACCCTCCGGCCAAACGTTGCCATACTGTAAAATAATCAATACAAGGTCACGGACTTAAGGCCAAAAGAAAAGCCAACAACAAAGGTAGTTCACTGGCAGGTGCAAATGCGACAGAAGTCTCTCCAGGGCAGTTGACCACCCGTCTCTAAGCCAAGTGGCGTCTCTAAAGCACTAGCCTTTTGGATTGACTTCGCCAACTTCATCGGGTATCCGCCGCTGGATTGTTTATAAATATGATACGGAGAAGACTGCCTCACATGGCATTGGCAAACACAAACCCAGTATCAGGATACACCAGGAATATCAGAGTTGTTTTGCCCCTGGGGGCATGCAGGGGAAGGAAATTGTCTGGCAAAGTGTGAAGCCCACAAGGCACTTGTTGCGGCACCTCCAGCAAAATGGAGCACAGAGAAGGCCTAGAACTTGCTATAGAACTTACTTGAGCCGAAAAGCACATGTCTCCAGAGACTGTTGAGCCTCGAAAAGTCTTGCTTGAAGGCCTGAGGAAGAGACTTGCGGTAACTGCATGCCGCCAGATCCAGTCACCAGCAGTGCCTGTCACCTTTCGCTCTCTTTTCAAGCGAGAAATGCCAAAATACGAGAGTGTGGTACACCGCCACGCTGCAGGTCTCGACAAAGACCAGCGCAAGTGCACCCTGACCCCTCCAGGATGGTATGGGCTGCTCATATGAACACATTGCCACCTGCCTCCCTAGTCACAGACTCGCTGCAAATATAATGCCAAAACATCCTACCCATCCTCCTCCATAGTCAGTGAGTGCAATTTTGGAGTGCTAGTAAGCGAAGCTCCCTCACTGGATCATAATGTAGGGTGTCGGTGGCACTGCTCCCGAGCCATCCTCTTCTGCCCACTCACGTGCCTGAGGTCAAGTCAAATCACATTGCTTCAAGTACAGAACTCTTCTGAGATCAACTTCAAATCCTTGCCCTGAGTGTTCAGTTAAACTTAATGGTTCAATGTTCCCGTCACGCCTGGGTAGCCTTGTAGACGGGCTTGGAGCAGAAGCATTCGTAGAAAGCTCCGAAGACAGTCATGGCGACACCGAGGAGGAACCAAAACCAGCACAGGGCCTTGCTTGTCGAGCGAGCGAGCAAAGCGGCCAGGAATCTGCAAAACAGATTCGAAGCTGCAAGACCAAGCGGCGTAGTACCACTGGTAGCAGAACCAGCCAAAGAAGACTGGCAACGCGGTGAAGACGCCTGGTCATGCAGAAGCAAAATATGTATATTATATATATACATATAATAAACATACACACAAATATGACCATACTTGGTCTGTACACATGTGTGATCGCAACATCTTTGACACCACATGACACCACCAAAGTCCGCCCAGGGTCAAGGGACCGGAATACAATGTGACAAAATCACCCTAAAAACAACAACTGCATCAATATGAGTACTATTGAAAATGACATGAAATTACTCGATAGGGTGCTCGAAGATTCTCTTTGATGACTTTGCAGCTCTCTGAAACTTGTGGCCCGGAGGGGGGTGGCGAAAGCTAGGCAAGTAAACAACGCTGGGGCTCTTTAGGCAGCAAAAGCCAGGCCGGGAATCGCAACATGCCATGGCCAAGGGAAAAGGAGAGTGCCAACAGCGCCCCCCCAATACGACCCCAACACAGCCAACACATGGCAACACACAACCACCCCAGCAACCGCCGCAGCAGCAGCAGCAGCAGGAGTAGCTAGCAAGCAGCAGCACCAGCTACCAAGCAGCAGCAGCAGCAGCAGGAGCAGCTACCAAGCAGCAGCAGCAGCTACCAAGCAGCAGCAGCAGCTACCAAGCAGCAGCAGCAACAGCTACCAAGCAACAGCAGCAGCAGCAGCAGCTACCAAGCAGCAGCAGCAGCAGCAGCAGCAGCTACCAAGCAACAGCAGCATCAGCTACCAAGCAGCAGCCGCAGTAGCAGCAGCGGCAGCAGCTACCAAGCAGCAGCAGCTACCAAGCAGCAGCAGCATCAGCAGCAGCAGCAGCCAAGCAGCAGCAGCAGCAGCCAAAGCAGCCAAGCAGCAGCAGCAGCCAAGCAGCCAAGCAGCAGCAGCAGCAAGCAGCCGAGCAGCAACAGCCAAGCAGCAGCAGCCAAGCAGCAGCAGCAGCGCAGCAGCAGCAAAGCAGCAGCAAAGCAGCAGCAAAGAAGCAGCAGCAAAGCAGCAGCAGCAGCAGCAGTGTTGCGTTGCAACAAGTGCAGCAACCCTGAACCGCATGAATGGCATCAACCGTACCATGACACGAGTTGGGGCAGCGTGACAATAGTATAGTTAATATAAGATGCACAAAGGGAAAACTCAACTACTGCCATGCTTCCACCAAACATCACCAAACTCTTCATCACCCGCTTCCCCCACCGAACTCTTCGCTCATGCCCCAACACGTCAGCAGCAACCAGCGGCAAGCAGCCAAAGGCAATCAGCAGCACCAAGCATGCAAGCAGCAAGAGACCAAGCAGCAGCAAGTACTGAGGAGAAGGGTGGAGTTGAACCCGCGGGGGGGGGGTTAAAGCCTGATAAATCAGGTATCTGCACTCAGGTCCTCGGCTCCCACCCTCCTTGCTAAAGCAAGACAGACTCCAGCTAGCTACAGCTAGCTTTCGTGAACAGGCGCCTGCCGCCAGCATGATCACGATTCCACCCAAGAGACCCGTCAGGCCCCACTCGCAGTGGCAATTGATTCCGGCAAGTCCTGGCACGCGTTGGATGTGTTCGGCACCAAATGCGACAGTATGGCATCGGTATGGCCAACAATGATCAAGCCACACTTACCTCCTGAAATTTATCAACACTTTACTGACCTACTGTCAACGGTGTCATGTTTTGACAGCAATGAACTTGGATATGGCAGCATCTGGAATCATCTTGAATCCCCTGGCACCCGAATTCACCCTTTCCAACCTCCCAAAGCCATGGCGTCACAGAAAGCTGGGGCAGTCGGGCAGTCTGGATTGAAACCAAAAAGCTTGCTGCAGTTGTCGTTGGCATGAACATGCGTGCTGCTGTCTTTTTCATTGTTTTGGCACGCCATGTGCGGCCGTTTTCACCACCTCCACCTCCAAACATGCGGCTCCAAAAAGAGTCCACTCAGCACAATCTATTTGTTCCATTCTCTCTTTGGTTCTGGTGTTTGGGAATGGAAGTGCTAGGCACTGAGTCTGTCCCTCCCTCTCTCTCTCTCTCTCTCTCTCTTTCTCTCTCAAGTTGGCACACTGGATGGTCCGAACCTCCTTGTCCATGGGCAACCAAATGACCCCACTTACTCTGGAATACTCTAGACGCAGTTTTTGAATCATTCTCTTGGCCGGGTCAGGGCAAGGACGTAGCGCAGGCAGTCGCTGAGCACCTTGGTCAGAATGGAGCTGATATGAGCTGATGAAGACATGATTATACAATAACAATAACATCGGCCGTCGGTCGTGGAAGGCGTTGGATGATGTTTGCGTGTTCATCTTTGGCAACTTTGGCGTGGTCTTCGGCGTGCTTTTCCTTTGGCACTTGTCTGATGAACGAGGTGCGTGGACCAACCAAGTGGGGCACCGTGCATTGGAAAGGCTGGTGAAAGGCCACGACACCACTTCGAGTAAATTGTGAAAATCAAGTTCCCGAGCGGGGCGGACTAGCTATCATTAGCAGGTTGCTTCTTTTCAGATTGGGACCTGTGGTTTGGATTTTGCCTTTGGAGGGGTTGGGCACCTCAAACTCTTCTTGTTGTTGCTTGACCTCTCAGAACTCCATGCTGCTGGGACACCAATTTGTACCAATGCACTCATCGCACTGGGGCGCAAGGTGGCATACAAACTCCTACATCTTGCAGGGCATGAAAACAAGTTCCAACATGATCACCCAAAAAAAGATCTTCGCAGCTCTTGGCAAGTGTCACAGTGTAGCCAAGAAACAACACAGGCGAACATGCTCCGAAAAGAACATCGATAGGAAAGGCTGGTGGAACAACTGTTGTTGATAGCGCCCGGAATGGGACTATATACGCATGGAATGTCCTCATCTCTGCATGTGACAGGGCAACCATCTGAAGTTGCAACGCAAAACTGAGTTCCATTCTCAGCTAAACAGCCCATCTCCTCAGCACAATCGCCGCATTCAGAACGCCAAAGTGGAATTTGGTGAGTCATCCGTTTCAAAACATGAGAGATCCAAGCCCCTGTGAATTCACCCTGACCCTTGGGGGTGGTCATTGTAATGTTGGATCACGATTAGTAAACCGGTCCGCAACAATGCTAAAATTTTCCAAAATCATTCAGGACCCCCTGTTTGAAAAAGTGGTCCTGAATAATGCTAATTTTTTGGGGGGGCCCTAAATTTGTTACATTGGAAACCTAATTAATAAGGGTTTGAATTCCTTCTGAGGCCAATGATTATGATTCATTGGCTGATATAGCTTTCTCTAGGTTTCTTCAAAACTGACAGCTGACCAAAACCACCAATTCCTAATTGAACCCTTTATAAAACATTGCTCCTAAACAAATTTTCAAGGTAGTAGACCAGGAAGGCACCTGATCCTCAATAATAGATTTGTTGTTGGGTTCTCAATTGTGAAAAGTTTTTTCCACTGGAAAAAATGCTCATGGAATCTTCCTTTCTTTTGCTCCTGAGGCCAATGATTATGATTCATTAGCTGATATAGCTTTCTCTAGGTTTCTTCAAAACTGACAGCTGACCAAAACCACCAATTCCTAATTAAACCCTTTATACAACATTGCTCCTAAACAAATTTTCAAGGTAGTAGACCAGGAAGGCACCTGATCCTCAATAATAGATTTGTTGTTGGGTTCTCAATTGTGAAAAGTTTTTTCCACTGGAAAAAAATGCTCATGTAATATTCCTTTCCTTAGCTCCTGAGGCCAATGATTATGATTCATTAGCTGATATAGTTTTCTCTAGGTTTCTTCAAAACTGACAGCTTTCTCACAGGAATTCTCACAGGAATCCAGATTTGTTTTGGTGGTAGTTTATTATAGAGGATCCCCCATTTGTTTGAGGGGGGGACCCCCTTTACTAATCAGGATCCAACATTATAGATCTAAATTGCGACCCCCAGGGTTCTATAAAATCTGGACACCCCGGGTAGAAACAAAAGGCTTCAGAACATAGAATCGCACACCCCAGGGTTGCAATCTGGACCTAATGAGACATGCCGCCCCCCAGGCGGCCCACTATAGAATCGCTCACCCTAATGGCAATATCAGATCGATATAGTTGATACCATAGAACAGGTGGCCTCATTCTATAGTGGACACCCCAGGGTTCCCCGATCAAGCGACCAACGGACTCCGATGCTCTCCAACACTTACTCCTCAGGTGCCATCCGTAGAAGCAGGGTTCCAAAGGAAAAGGATTCATTTTCTATCATTTGCTCCACGGCATCGCGTGCTGGAGTTTGTTGAGCTGGCGTTTCAACATGTTTTTTCCATGACCAACGTGTTCAAAATAATGCTCCTTCTGATTCTAAGTGGTCTTTAATGTTCTTACTTCTCTCTCAGCCCAACATCTTGCTACCCACACACACATAATCACACACACTCACATCCATGGATGATTCTCTATAAAATCAAGCATCGTCGATAATTCTCTACAAAATGGTCTCTATAAAATCAAGCTACCCAGGGTTACATTCTTCGAGCATAAGAGCAATCATCAAAATCCACTCCTCTGTCAAGTCCATGCACCAGGGTTCACTTTGTCCAACAATGGTGGTTTCTATAGAATGACCACCCGCAAGGGTGGTCATTCTGTAGAGAACCTCGTGGCAAGCATGAATTCCACCCTCAAATCCACATCGCTGTTTCGACGTCCGGACAACTCAGATCGAACACGGAAAACTCCACAAAGAACCTCTTTGGATATGTGAAGGAGTGCCGCAAACAAGGAGAAAACCATGCCCAAACTTCTTCGAGCAAAGTTGGAATAGTCCCTGGAATAGTTGAAATAAAAAGAAATAACTAGTTGGGGTAGTGTCTCATCACGCCTCCAAAAAGCAGTCAGCACAACCGAATGCTGGCGTGGGGCGGTTGCATTGCAAACCAAAGGGCATGCCTCCTTGGAGCACCAATGCATGCCCACACAGCCTGCCACAAACAGCATCGAACCGGAGGAGCTACTGGGAATCATCAATGCTTTAAATTTAAATCAGCAATTCTGAAGCATTCTCACTTCTGAATTGCTGTTGCGTTTTGCCAAGCATTCCTCGTTCATCCTTTTTCTATCTGTTTTGCTCCCTGGACCTGCCTTCGCAAGCTGGTGGAGTGAAACACTTATGTTGATCGTCTTTGCATTCCACTGGGCAGCCATCCTTCTTTGGCCGACATTGGAAGTGTCCTTAAATGACACGGGGCATGCAAGCTCGTCGTGTGCTCCATGCCACTGCGCGATGCGCAAAAACGGCGGTGCCATGCCCATGCGCCAAAACATCACGAACGCAACATCACTCGATATAAGTTGCTTCTTGACAAGTAGCTATGTTTTTTGTCATGCTCTGACTCCTTACCATCCTTATCATCCTCCGGCTCTGGAGCGCAGGTAATCTCATCTTCATCACAGGTAGTTGGACATGGATCCACTGAGCACCAATTCACCTGGATAGCAACAAGGTGGAAGCAAGGGCCAGAAAATGAGCGAGATATATAACCTTCAGCAGCATCTTATAAGCTGCAAACATTTGTGCCATGATTCTGGTGCCAAGGCACTCCAACACAACCGTCGCAAGCGGGAACGCTATGGCAGGCCTTCATGAAACGAAATGGAACTGCTCACACAATGCAGGACACAAGGCTAAATAGGTAGTCTTGAGAAGAAAGGGCGGAAGATTGTCGGCTAGTGCATGGTCCAAATTGGTGTGGCTTGGCATTCTCTGCAGGTGAATCAATCATCGTTGAGATCAGGGAAGCATGTAACCGCGAAGTTGCCCTCACAGCAATTCCTAAATGAAAAGCAACTCCGGATAGCTAAAGCCACTAGAAAGCTTTGTCCTGAATGCTGGTAGGAGTCGGAGTGCAGGAGGTCGCCTGAAAAAATATCCACCTGAACTCCCTTTTCAAGCCAGGATGCATGCCCCCCATGGTGGCTGCAATCTACTGGACAACCATCTGACTTGTTGAAGCAGGTGTAGACCTGAGACAAGCAGGTCCGAGTCCGAATCAACCTTTTTGTCTACTTGTCTACAAAGCCAATGCTAAATCCCCAACGGCATTCACTGTTATGCGAAGAATTTCTGCATGTGAGGTGGCTGGGGCCGTTACAACTGTTGGCCAAAAGGTCACAAGAATAGTGTGATGTCACTCTACTCTGAGCTCGGGGCATGGTTTTCATCTGCGCAGGCGACTTGGTCACTTGTGCAATTTGGCTGGCATGGCGCTGTAGAGCACCAATTGGTGCCATAACCACCCTGACCAAAGCAAAGCAACAAGCAAGTCATTTGGCTGGATCTCTGCATGCATGTGCCCAATCAACTGCCAATAAAGGAGCGCCGTTATGGTCTGATGAGTTCAACTTCCTAGAGCCGCTCGATGTCATACACCGGGAACCAACCCTTGGCAAGGTCTGGTGCCTTAATGTGATGACAATATGCCCATTGCACACAGGCCTCGTGCTGAGGTGGCAAATGACAGGCGAACTCGTCATCATGGCACTTCACCGGGCAGCCATCTTCCTGAGCGTGTGACAACCATAAGCACTGAAATGAAGGACTCCAAAAGAACGCACATGTCACATGTCACAATCTGCTTGCTGCACAATATGTTGCTGTATGTTTCTGTACATCTGCTCCACACTGGACTGTGAAACGAACTGAGACGTATTTCGGCGTCTCCCAAAAATTGCCGCCTAGGATCTCTCTCAGCACAAGTGCCACTCCCATCCTCCTGTTAACACAAACACTCAGGACTTAGGAGGGCATCAGCTTGTGGTGAACATGCTTGAAGCATCTGCAGTCTTAAATTCTTGCCCATCCAGGCACAAGACAAAGATCAACATCAGGGTGTCAATGGACGTTGTTCATACTTGTTCATCCTTGCGATGGCCGACTCTTCCCCCGGTCCAAATACATAGGCTGACTCTGCTGTTCTCAAGCCTGTTCTCCTCAAGATTCCAATTTTCACGGTCTCTCCTTCATGCAGGCCAACTGCGTGTCGTTGCAAACAGTCGGGCACGGCTCATTGGAACACCAGTTCATTCCCTGGTAGTGTGGTTCTAGTGGTGGCCAGTGGCAGGACTCCTCCTGAGAGCAGCAAGTCTCTCTTTGCTCTGGGCTGCAAGCACCACCGGAATCCCTGTGAACCTGTATGGTGAATGATGCAATGATGTTTATGATTTACGCTAGTTACTTGGACGATACACCAGTGCGTGAACAGTATTCACCGGAGGCATCTCAATGGCAAGCAAGCTCGTTACAAATGGCAAACATCATGTGATCAACAAGGTAGAAAGGACAGGACAAGCAAAACGAAGTGGGCTCACTGCAAAAAAGGTTGTGGAACATTGAAACACCATCAAACCTCTTGAAGACGTCCTTCTCGTGACAATGCACAGGGCACCCCTCAGAGCGATTGACGCAAAAGTTGCTGCCATTCAGCCTGACGGTACAGGTCCACAAATCCCAGCAGCTAAGCACAGTCAAGTTTAAACTTGACCAATGAACCTTAAAGTGCTGAAGCCAGGCAGACACCATAGCCCCATAGCTATGTCTTTCTTGAATTTTGTTTCTTCGAATTCTTCGAGTGTCTCTTCGAATTGCGCCACACTCGGTGGCCCCACCTGCTGCATGAAACCTCCTTGTGGCCACAAAGCTCTGGGCAAGGAGCCTCACTGACTAATGTACCGAGATTCTGTGATGTTGACAGTGTGAATGAAGGAGAATCACCCGATAACTCTTCAATGGTTCAACGATTTTGCATCCATGCTTCTGCCGAGCACCAATTTAAGCCCGTGCAGTTGTCGCACTTGGGTGGTGCATGGCAGGCATTCCTGAGCCGCAAACGCACTCTGTCCTAGCAAAAGTGACCGCCCACGTGGAAGGAACCTGGACCTTGAAGCAGCTGTAGTGCAACACTTTTACTATGTGCTGGACCTCAAGGCAAGCTCGGCTTCTTCTTGAATCTATAAGACAGGGCCAGGAACGTGTGCAATATTGCTGTATGATTGAAGATGTCTGTATGCAACAGTCTTCTCCTTCCCTTAGGAATGCGTTCAACAACCTGTGGAATGGAAGAAATCCGAGCCAACAACTGCATTGCATGCTTCCCCTGTGTTGATTGATGACTTGCCAAAAAAACTGTCCCATGTTGTTTTGCAGTGACATGTTCCATGCTCCCTACTCGTTCACATCCAAAACCTTCATTCACCTCCACCCTCTGCACAGCTCTCTGTGCAAGTGGCATCGACTTCGTGCAATTCACGGGACAGCCCAGCTCCTGGGCATAAACATCACACCAGAGAAACTCTCAGCAGACCGTCTTGTTTCTACCCAGACTGAGACAGCTCATCCCAAGATATCCCAACATAACAGTTCATTATATAAGTTTGGGCTAGCGGCTAGAATGATTCCAAACTTATGTTCAATTGTTCTTTAAGTCACTCCGGCTGTCCACACACATATGTTGGGGATTCCAAACCATTACAGCAAATGGCTCTATCGTATACAGCATATCTATTTTGGCCCAAGCAAAGCTTACTGCAAACATGGACATGAGACTCATTAATTTGTACGTGTTTAACGGGGATCATGACCAAGAATACCCATGTGATTCTATGAGTTCAAATTGGTTCCAACCCAATGAATTCAAGCACCACCCAAGTTCAATTCCTCCTCAAATATGATTGCCGAGTATGTTGGTAGTGGGGCCCAGTGTGAAGCGATGGTGGCTGACAAACACCCCATGGCTGACAAACCACCTCACAGGACACTGCCCTCAAAACTTATCCATCACAAGAATTTTCTGGCCATACACCTAACTATGAGCAAAACAGTAAAGCCAACAAATGCAATGATACAATACTCATGGTTCCTGTTCGCTGTAACGACTAGTCAGGGCTACAGCTACAGGGTTTTACGCACCGTTCCATGGCATGACTCAGCGTTCCTTCGGCGCGCAGAACTCGACGCCATCATTGGTACCACAGGCCACTTCCGTCTCATTGCACCCAGGTGGGCACGGGGCAGAAGAGCAATAATTGACACCGGCCTGGACGAACAAAAGGGCGCCCAATGAAGGACCCAGTCGGCACAAACCAACCATCCAATTCAGGATCTGATCGATCAACTCCTCATAAGAGATCATAAGAGCCTATTGTCACATGTCTGTCAGTCCATCTACCCGAATCTACCTAGGCCACGCCAACTCCAGTGAGCTCCCGCCTCCCCAGCACTCACACCAGGTCTGTGACATTCATACTCATCCTTGTGGCACTTTGCCGGGCATCCGGTGTCAAAAGGCACGCAGTAACTCCCAGAAGCTCCCGAGCAAGAGATCTCGTGATCCTGCCGAGTCTCTGTGGATCTCGCACCCAGGCTGGATCTTATGGTGTACTTTTTGGACGTTTCACGTTTTTCAATGAAGCGGTACACGACGTGAGCACTTATTGAAAGAACCATCAGCCAGGCCTTGCAGCTAGCTGGACATGGGGCGGAGGAGCACCAATTCACAGCGGTGCAGCCAGTGCAGCTGGCAGGAGTGTGGCACTGAAAATCCTTGGTGACACGTAGTAGTGTTGGACACTTTAATCAACACAGTAGTCTGATCTATATCATCTAATGAACTTCCAGTGCAAATGCCCGCATCCAGCTTTCTAAACAGGTCATACTGTTCGTAGGATTCGTGTGGCAACACTCATTCTGATCTGAGAGTCCACGTCTGCGCAATGCACTGGGCAGCCCATCTCTTTCAAGGCACACCAGGGCTCCGTATGATCTCCGGCCGCATCGCACAGCAACTGATCATAGCCGCACACCTGGTACAGCAGGGGGAAGATGTTGGACACGTCGTATGGAACACGATCTGATACCATACAAACTGCTTAGTGTAACATCATGTGTGAACTTATGCCATAGAGCGGGAGCAACACGAGAAAATGCATGGTTGGCTCTTCCTCTTCAAAGCAGTCGTGCATTTTCCAAAACTACTCAACAATCGTTCTCTCTCGCTCTCTCTGTATTTACTTGAGCAGCATGTTTAGCCTCATGTCTGTGCATCAAAGCAGCTATGGGACAGGGTTGCTCTGAGCAATAGTTCACCGCTGAGCACTCTTCGCACAAGGGCGGCGTGGTACAAAGGTGTTCACCACTGCCACAGGTGACGGGGCATCCGTCAAGCCGTGAAGCACAGGTATAGTCCCAAGGGAAGATGCCATAAAATGAGCCTTTACATAGTACCTCTGTCTCGTTGCAGGAGCCTTGCTGCCCATGCTCCTTAGTCTTCTTGTGTATATACATGTATATAGATGATGGATGTGTATAGATCGCGTTTGTTCCAACAGGCTAGAAACAGCAAATAGTCAGCTCTCTCTGTGGGTGGTGGAATTATGACCATACATTGTGCACATGAATTTGACAAGATACACTTACACAGACTTACACATTGAACACACACACACACAACAGGATGGAACTACGCCAAACAGCATCTGGCTGTCCTTGACGGATCATTTTTTTGGAAAATCAAATTCCAAACTTCTAAGCAATGACATGTCACAATGTGATGCTGGGTTTGCAGCACGGAAACGCCCTTTACAGCGGCTGGTTCAGCTTCGCTTAGCCAGCTTGATTGCTTTGCGCCGCAAGCATCGTTGACCAGGGCAGCACAAAGGTAGCAAAGCACATGTTTAGTCAGTGAGCGGTACATCATGTTGACGGGTAAGATGCTGAGCCAACAAACGTTTGCGGAAGTACAGCGTGCTCAAGACATGGCCCGCGGCCCGCAATTGATGGGCAAACACGCACACATCTCAGAACATCCAAAAGTACATTTACGATACATTTTTGCCGCCATGTCCAACTCCAACGAATGCCCTTGCAAACCTGCTTGACAGCCTGAAAGCGCTGGCTTTTCCCACTTGAAGCGCGATCCTCCCATTGGAGAAGCTTCGTGACCTCATCGTTGCAAGCATTATAACGAGACAGCAACCCAGGGAAAGGAATGGCCAAATATAAGCAATGAACCAAGCAATGAGTAATGTATGGCCAACTTATTCAAGGATTGCCAAAATATAGTTAACCTCTATGTCATTGTCGCATGGGCATGCACAAAACTTCCGACAAAAGCAATTCGTGGTGTCTTCTTTACACGGTGAAGGATGCTGAAACCAATGTGATTCTCACCAAGTCATTCCTACAACTTACAATTGTGGAAGCAAGCATTCGGCATCGGTGGCTGGGTTCCTCATCTTCAGTCGGAACAGGTGGATAAAAACGCCGACATCTCCATGCAAAGAGCTGCTGTGTTGTGTCTTGATGCACTTGGGCATCGGGAAGGAGAACTTGCCAAAAGCACTGGCATGAGCGACTGGTTGCAGCTGCTTAGTTAAATCATAGCATGCGTCTTGAATCAAAAATGCTCAGATATCCTTTGTTGGTTTCCCACTGCTTTGCTTCTCATTTGGTCTGTTTTTTTATTGAAACCTTGATTTGCCTTCGCTATCCTTTGTTCGTGCTTTTGCCTGCTTCCCTAGCTGTTGTTTTGTTTGACAAAGGGAACGTGTTTTTACAGAGGGGGCCAACTAATTCAACTTGTAGACAGATCTCACCCCAGCTGTACTCATAGACTCGCTGCGGCTAGGAGAGATGCATGAGAAGACAGAAACAGCAGCTCCTTTCATGAGGCCCCAACGGTCAAAAGCAAAGGCTCTGCTGAGGTTGACAAATCCTCTGCAGGGTTGGCGACTTTCAAGAGCCTTGGACTGCCAAGGCCAACGCACTCCCACATGCAGCGTCCCCGTCAATTTTCCACCGCGGAACTGATTACAATAGCTAAACTGAACAATATCTTCACTAGCGATTGTTCTCATCTGCTCCGTTTGCTTGTTCACCGTTTGTATCACCATTTGTACTTGCACGTGTTTCTCTCATTCCGTCAGCCAAACGCAATCCAAGATGCAACAAACGATCAAGCTCCCGTCGCAGCTCTTTGAAAAGGACCGCTGCCTTTTCGTCCTGGAGAAGCGCGGTCTTCAACCATAGTTGCATGAGTTGCGTGATGTCATTATGTCATTGGAAGCTGGCCAAAGCCAAAGCAACAGCCCCTCCCAACAAACAGTGATGCACCCTCAAATCTGGCTTGCCCAGACTTTGCCAAACATGCTGTCCTTTTGGGTCTGGGCCGGTTCAATGGACACTTTTGCACGCCAAGAGTACTGTGCATGTGTGTCATTTGCTGCTTGTCCATTCGGCCAAATGCATTCATGCAACAGCACTCAAAATAAGTGGTCCTTGGCTTCGAAAATCATGCCGTCCACTGTGACACATTTCCGCTCCTCAGTGCGGCACCAGGAATACAGGGCGAGACTTAAGGCATTCAAATACAAATTCAGATGTACTAAGAGGCAGTCTGTAGAGATCTCTCTACAGTAAAAAAGCCATTAGTGTATACAATGTGCACTATTACTTTATTGAACAAGGGTGGCGTGGCTGCTTCATGCCACCGAGCCTAGCCTTGGCCAAGATCTTGAGATCGCCGCCAAAAAGCAGAATTGGTAAGGAACCTCATAGCATCGGTCCACTTGGAGCAAACTGCACCCATCTTCGCCTATGTTTTCAGCAAACAGGTGAAGAAAGGCCAAAGGGAATGTTGATTTTTCTTCCAGATCATCCATTCCACGTCAGAATTTGTGCGGCATCGGCATTGTTTTCAAGCAAAATCTAATCGCACAAGACGGCACAAGACCTGCACCTGTTATATAACCTTTGCCTGTTGCTTCTGCCAAGTTCGACTGATATATGTGTATATGCAAAAAATGATATTGTATAACTAACTATTATGTGACACTATAATGTGAAGCCACGGCAAGTAAAGCGTCTGCTACAAAAAGAGCATCGAAACAATTGACTTGTTTCATCTCTGCGGGGGCATCAACACTCCGTCATTAGAAATCATCATATACTTGCAAGCAAAAGGAGGCCCCTTCTGGCAACTGAGGTGCCTATCAGTGTAGTATCATGAAGGTACACCTGGGAGGTTTTCACCTTGTCGTGAAACAGCAGCCAGCCGTGATTGGCCGCAAACTCCTCAGCGTGGCACAGCACACATCTGCACGGCCTCCTACTGCAGTGGAGTGACAGATCGTGATCTGCACGGGCGACTCCCATCGTCTGAGGCCCGGGGCATTTCCCTGACGAAAATTGAGGCTCGAAGGATGTGGTGCACAACGTTCGCGCTGGCGGCTTACAAAAATATGGTACCTCAATGAAAAGCGTCCAAATGTCGTGTAGTGGGGAGTGTCTGTGTGTGTGTGTGTCATTGCTCCATGCACAAAGACAGCATAACACCACGAAATGAACAGGAGAACAGGTATTGCCACCGTGCGGCGTGCCACGCGCATTGCTTTGACGTTGCACTTGCGCCACGTTTGGAAAAAGCCCCGCACACATCACACATCGCCTCAGCTGGGCTTCATCGGGGCTCCAAAGTGGCGACAAGGTTCCAAGTTAGCCAAGGATCACCAGTGACAAATTTGATTGATGGACATTCACCTCAAGGGATAGCCAAAAAGCAAAAACAGATTTGCGATGTTTTGCAATGGTTTGCCTACCATGCCATCCTCTTGATGCACCTACACTTGAAGCAAAGTCCAATCTTTGGTTATCTGAGTCATGTGAGATATCGAATGATATCGATAGATATCGTACATGTCGCCTTTCGGTGTTTTTGTTTAACCAACCTACAGTACCTGGACCCAACATATATACAGCTGCAGCACGCATCCACAAAGGCTTCCCTTCCCGGCAAAACCCAAGTGCACAAGTGCTTTCCACACGGTGCTGGCCTGATCGCCACCGTCCTCGCCAGCCTCGGCATCTGCGAAGCCCGTCTCGGCCAGGTGCCGGAGGAACTGCTGCCGCAGCTGGGCCTAAGGAATTCCAAACACTGGGCCATAGCATGGCTACGAACGTAACAAGCAGGTACTAGTAACCAGGCACCTTACTAATTACCTGGACTCCTGACCTTACTACTAGTAACAAGAAGCTACGAACGTAACAAGTGCATCGCTACGAACGTAACAAGTAAAGCGCAGCGTCCAACGAAGCAGGGGCCCTGGCAACGTCATCCAAGGTGGACGAGGACAGCCCAAAGCGATCACACACAGCCCACGCGTTTTCTCGGCCTTGTCGACGCTGCTCATGATACCTAGACGCTGCTGCGAAAACGGCTTTGTTTGTTTGGCGCTGGCCAACATCGCCTAGGAACAACAGAATCGATTGCAAGAAATGCCTTGGTGATACCTAAAAGAACTGAAATGGTAGCCTGCTAGATCGCAATGAGTCAAAGATGCTTGTCATACGCCTTTGCCGCAGCTAGCTGGTCGCTATGAAGCTCGCCCCAAACATTTCTCCGCTCTTGCACTTGTAGCTCCTCCACGGCTCGAAGACGCTACAAGAATCAAAAGGGCTGCCCTCTGGACAATACACAATAAGTACACCAGAACAGAACAGCGGATCACGGAAGAAGTTGGACAGTTGCAAGAAGTTGGACAAGGCGCCTCCTTCGTGCGGTTGAAGTTCCGTATGAAAGGAGACCTCCTAGGAGAAAATTGTTGCGGCATGAAACCCACAGGACGGGCAGGATTTGGGAAACTAAGGGATTCGTTTGGGGTGTGGCCCCCAAAACCAATGGCCAAGGATGACAAGCAGTGGCCACTGCCTCACAGCCTCTCGGGGATCCTCCCGACCCAATAGCTACTGAATGTCAAGTTGCTGTGATAAGCATGCCGCAATGGTGAGGATAGGAGCCAAGCACTTGCAAAGGGATCCATACACCAGCATCTTTCCTGAAGAACACTGCCCCAACAATCCACTATGGTCCACTGGCATTTGCTCTTTCATTTTTGGAGAAGCACCAGTCATCCGCGTGTACATTCCCAACCTGCTATGATCGCATGACTCATGTCTATAATCCTCCATTTCGCACTGCATCATGACTATCGATCAATTTTTGAATCTGCAACTTAACCTGTCCTTGACACAATGCCGCCAAGCCACCAATGCGCGCGTCGACGGGCATATGTGCCAAATGGAATCCGAGTGGTGTCAAGCGCAGTTGGGAGTCATTCTCAAGCGCACCAATGGCCACCTGTGAAACGAGACGTCGGTATTCAGCAGTCCTCATCGGCAATGGTTCCGCTTTCGCAAGGGCATTCTACTAGGTGGGCAGGCCTGCTTCATAAGGAAGATCCCAGGGTGCACAACAACGTGATACCAATGGAACAACAATTCGGGGTGCGCATGTGTAGCCAGTGTGAGACAGGGACTAAATCATCTACTGGCAAGCTGCTAAAGCTCGAATGGCACGCTCCACCGCCTGCAACGAAGAAAATTCAATTGCCGCTTCACTCGGTGGAAAAAATATTTCTGCTGTATTATACTGTCACTGTATTAATTCAGTATTCACTCTGGCTTTTTAGCCTTGGACATGCCATGAATGTCAAAACGATGCGCCAACTGGCACATTGATTGGCCTATGGCCAAGAATTGCCGAATCCCGCACGTCACAGCTGGATGGTACAAGTACCGGCCAAATAAAATTGAACAACTACATCGCCTACAGGCCTGTCCAGTTCCTACTACTTTCTGACAAGGTTTGTGGATGGTCGCTCAGCGGTGCCTCTAACGCTGGTGGCTCAGGCGCACGCCGAAGGAAGTCGCCCGGATGGTCGCCCAGCTCCAATAACCGCAGCTGAAGTACCAACTCCTCAAGGTCCAGAAATCAAGGTAATAACACCACTGCCTCGCGGAGACCTTCAAGGTGGTATTATGATGTATTATGATTATTATGACCCTGACTTCGGACGACTGTCTGAAGCAGCGAGTGTGAAAGATCTTGGAAAGCGCCGAAGCAGGATCGAGGTGGTTGGTGACACATGCATTGTCAAGTGTATTCAATGAAGCGGTCCTCTAGCGGAGTGCGTTGCATCTCACACAACCTGAGGCAGCGTCCGCACAGCTTTGACCCAAGCAAGTCGTCTGCAACAAACCAACTGAGGTTATATACATGGTTACAGCACATGTGCCGCTGTTGACAGCTCTTGGCTTAGCACAGCACCGATGCAGACCAAAGACCCCACAAGCTTACACTTACCTGTGTGAAAGCAGCATGCAGGCTTTGGCCTCCACCCGTTTGAGTTTAAGGAGCGTGTGCTTGGGCAGCTCTTTCTCCATAAAGTCTTGCCGGCATAGTCTCCAGCAAACACCTGCAAATCTATCGGGCTTTCCAGGTTCAAAGCCAACGCCTTTCCTTTTGGGCCCTTTGGCCACCCAGCCCAACAAACGCCGTGATGTAGTGATGCTGTGGCTTTCACCGCCTGGCTACGTATTTCAGTGAGGCCTGGTCGTGTACGACCAGCTCGGCCAGCACGTTGCTTGGCAGCAGCTTGGCTGACCCAAACTGTAGAGAACCTGTGGGCCCAAGGGTGACAGCTAAAGACAAGTCGAAACATGTCGAAACAAGGATAGCCCTGACACAGCTATTGGATGCCTTAAGTTGTACGAATTTGCTATCTTGACGGTTTGTTGAGTTTAATATGCTACATTTCGTGGCTTTCCCGTACCTCTTTGTTTTGGCCAAAGCTGGCAGCAAACTAGCAGCCCAGGCACACACTGGTCGAGCTCTGAGGGGAGAAGCGCGTTTCCTTGACGTGGCATGAATCGATGACGTGCGTCACATCATCGATGGTGATGGAGGTTTCTGCCTTAGAGGGATTCCATCAACCAGTGGAGCATCAGTGCCATGAGTGGCTTATTAGCTTGTGGAGACTAATCCATCCATACCTTCCAAATGACCGGTAGCTCAATAGTGGCTCTATGAGGTCTTTCGCATGTCTGACTTTGGTGGTCATCTCTGCATGTTTGCTCATGAGCTGATCGCTCAACTGGGGTCCCAGCAATGTTAGTAGAGACCTAACAGCTGTCTGTAGCAGATCTCTGTATATCACACTGGGCTTGGGTTGGCCAATGAAAAAGAGCCAAGTATCCGAAGACTCTTTTTAGCCAACATTGTGGCTCAAGCCGTGGTATAAGCAAACGATGGCAAACGTGTAGGACAGTCTTCACCACGCTTGCCGCACTCCCCAGCTGCAGGGACGTCTACAGCTTTGGTACACAAACTTGAGCTATGTACAGGACTCATACACTCCTCCACGTCTCTCATGTCAGCCCCAAGTGTCACAAATATAGAGCTGAGATCCTTGCTTGGCAGCCCAAATATCAGTAACATTCAGTAACTATCTGCACTTCTAGCGTCAGCTGACCAACAATACTGTTGCCTCTACAAATGACTAATGACTAATGACTAATGCCATGCTGCGCTGCATGGCACGCAGCCTGCTTGTAGCCGCTTCTTTAGCGATGCCATTCTGCTCCAAGACCTCCACGAAAGCATCAAAGACTTGTGAAGGCATCGGGTGTGAGCGGCCACATACAAAAATCATCGCCCCCGCGTCCTGCAGGAGAGGCTGTTCTGAACGGGTAGTTGGAGCATCAAGTCATAGCGATTTCGCACATATGTGTTTGCATGCATAAGGTCCGTGCAGCCCTTTGACACTGGCCTATACAAAGTCTTTGCGGGTGTGAAATTGAACCCCGGGTCCAGCAGTCTGCACACATGTCGCCCTTGCTCTTCAATCAGGTCCTGCACATAGACCTCGAGCTCTGTCCAAATCATTTCCAGATCATGTCGAAGAAGCGTGCCTTTAAATATCAAATTACAGTAATTAAAGACATTGTATTGCGACCTTCAGAACTTGCAGAATTCCATCCATACAAATCAACTCACTAGCACAGTGACACAGATAGCCCCAAAAAGTAATGAAAAACATGCCCCTGGTGCGAAAGCATTCGCGCAAACAAAGAATCACATAGTGTTGGTACGTATGTTGATTTGAAATTCAATCTGCACAAAGCTCACTTTCGGCCTTCTTGTCCTCGTGGTCACGAGAGAATGCCACATGCACAGATAGCCAGGTCTTGAAGTTTGACCATTCATGTCCATATAGGAAGTCGCCATCCTGGTGACGAAAGCCCAGGAACATCAGGTCCTGGACCGACACAGTCAGCTGCTTGAGGTGCGAGAGGCAGCTAGTGTGTGAACGGGACACCATCAGAAAAAAATCAACCATACAACACATCTTGAATTCTCGGAATCCTTGACTATGACCTCATGCATTCAACAGCTTCAGTTCCCAGCGAACCTGAAGACCTTTGTGAAAACGAGCTGGAGGAGATTTGGCGCCCATCAGCTGCTTGTGCCTCAAGAGCCCAGGGGAGACCCAATTGCGGACTGAGCGGTGACAGCTTCTGGTCTCATGGCCCCGCCTCTCTTGCACAAGTGCCCGGCAGGGAGACAGCCCGGTCCCAGGGCAAATCAAGATCAACGGCACCTCTTTGGGCCGTGTATCCAAACAGCCGATCAACAGCCGTTTATCAAAAGCAAAGCTTGTCCGGAACAGTGGGAGAGAGTCAGTAAGTCATCGGTAGTAGGAAAGGTCTCGCTCATTTCCTGCCTCCAAAGGTGGTAATTGTAGAGTACCTTTCTCCAGGCTGCACTGAAGCCGGGAACCTACGGCAGCATCTTTCAGAAAATTGCTGCCTTGGACGCAGGCGGATGTGGCTCAGTCTACAGGCACTTGTGCTGTGTGAAGTGACCACTGGCAGAACACCCCTTTCCACCATATAATATCCACTGGTGCACAACGCCTGGGGATTGGTTTCAGACAAGGCACACAGGCCTTTGACCTCTCGGTTGCTGCGAGTCACAGAATTGACAATGCCAACACAAAGGTCCTGAGCTGCGTGGTGGGGGAGACTCTAGGCTTATGATGTACCTTACAGCCTAACTCTGAAATCTCAAGGATTCATAAAAGGGCAAAAAAATGCAAAACCGCACTCAGAAATGATGACTAGGAAATGCAAAAAACAGGCATGAAAAAGGCAAGAAAAAGGCAGCTGGTCAAAAAGAGTGCGTATAAAAAAAGCAAAAAAATTGCAAAAGGAAACCAAAACAAAAAGCAAACAAAACGTAAAACAAAAGCGAACAAAACGCACAAAAAATGCACATGCACAACCAAATTTCACACACCACCTTTTTTTGTGCGATGTGTTTCGATGTTTGTGCGTTTTATGTGCGATTTTTTGCATTTTGGTTCATTTGTTGTGCGTTTTTTGTGCGATTGTTTTGCGAGTTGTTTGCGTTTTCTCAAGGAAACGCTCAAAAAATGCAAAACAAAATCGGAAAACAAAAACTCAAATACAAAGCAAAACAAAATGCAAAGGCAAAGACCAGAACGTTTTTGATCGCATTTGTTTTGCTTTTTGATTGCATTTGTTTTGCATATTTTTTGCATTTATTTTCATTTTGTGTGCCTTTTTTGTGCATGTGTTTTGCATTGTTTGTGCGTTGTTTTTGCATTTGTTTGGTGGACAAATGCGTGTTTTTTCACTTTTTTTCCGTTTTTTGCATTCCAAGGCATCCTTTGATGACGTGTTTTTGCGTTTTCTGTGCATTTTTTTCGGGATTGGTTTTGCTTTATTTTTGCATTGTTTATGCATTCTTTATGTTTTGCTATGTCATCAGAACTAGCTTTAGCGTACATCATAACTCTAGGCATGACACAGCATGACGCATGGAGTTGCTCCATCCAGACTTAAGTCTTCAGCAGCATGCAGTGTTTGCCCGGAGTGAAGTCTGAAAAGCCGACCAAGTGTCCAAATCTTGTGACAAACCATCTGGCGCAAGATCTGCCCAAATGTCTGCCATGATTCGTTTCAGGCAGCTTGCTGGAGGCTCCTGTAACTTAAAGGTTGGGCACACTTGAATAACTGAAGGTGGCCAAGACATGTTCTGCACACGGTCTGCACCTGCCACCAAAAGGGTCTGGACAGCAAAGACCAGGCTCCAGTAAAACGGCCGAAGCCCGCCCACCTTGGCGAACTGGAGTGCCAACTCTGACCGGTGGATACCGGTGATGTTTCAGGCGGGCTCCGCGGTGTGCCCATTGGCTTCGGGATCCCAAACACGTTCATTCTCCTCAGGTTATAGATAGTACAGCCCCCCAACAAACCAAACGGCCTCAGTGGGTTCCAATAGTTCACCAAGAGACCCCGGACAGGAAGCAATGGAGTAGCGGCGAGGTCGCAGCAATGGCAAGGCACTGATTAGTGCATTTAGAGGAGGCCGTGCCGTCCAAAAGTCCCACATGACCTATTCGTGCGCGAGTCCGTTAACCTATTCGAGGCCGAAGTTGTAGATGCTCTATGATGCTCTTACTTCGAGGGCTTCAACTTGCAGAACGATGATAAGCTGCAAACAGCTCTTGCAAGTCCATCCGGCGTTTGTTGGACTTTCAAGGCTCTTTAGATTGTTTAACTTGTCAAGCTAGGTCGTTCCTAGCCTCCGCAGCGGATCGACGTTCTCTTTTGCAGTACCTCGGCGGAACTCAGCTGAGCTTTGGAGCCCCCTTTTGGAAGGGCAGGTGGGAATTCCAAGGTGATCAATCATTCAAAAAGACTGCCAGGAGCACAAAAGGCTGACCTTGATCACCTACAAGTGTATAATACTACTCATTCACCCAAGGTGCTCGTATAAGGCGTCTTTGGCCTCTAAAGTACGTGATGCAAACTCACCTGAGTTCAGGAAGTCGCCAAATTTGACCATGCGACTCGCACTGTGAGAAGGCCAAAGCATGTGCCGTCATACATTGACATGGCAGCGTACATGACATATAGATACATATAGTGCCAGAACCTGCTGCCACGATGCTAAGTTTCTTTTTGTGCAGCTCGTCTGAGGTGTAGAGCGAGAGCCTCTCAGACGCTGTCGGGCAGCTCACAATTTCCGGCACAATCTGCACTCTGCTGTTCTATTCTCCTAATAGCAAATCTATATCTATCTGTTAAACACACACATATATATATAAAGACTTCGGTCTGCCCGCTCAGTTTTTTAGCTTTGCAAGGTCGGG